TATATATATATATATATATATATATATATATGTACAATATAATTATTGATTCTTATTTTATACAACACTTATTTAAAACTCTGCAGATTAAAAATGTAAAATAATTTTTTTTAGCCTTAATAAAGATGAAATACTACAAAATAGGACGAGTGAGTGTTGGAGCAACATAGATCAAGCCACACACAAAGGAAACATTTTTAAAAACAAGCTAATGTTTTATCAAGTCATTACAGTTCTTGTTCTAATCAAATAAATAGAAATCAAAGTAAACAATTACCCAATCAGCTTGCATGTAAAAATGGATTTCATTTATAATTCGGGTCCCTAACTTCATGGGGATCCTATTTTATATGGGATAATATATTCTGATGTTTTGTAAAATATTTACCTTCATTTTCAAACGTATCTAAATAAAACTATTTCAAGGTGGGAACTTTTTCTTATCTATATCTCTAATATTATAAATAAAATTACAAAGAAATGTATTTTAGAGCACTGTACTGTTATCTATTTGTATTAATTGGTAATTATTTTAGTCGTACACTGGTGTCTTACCTTAAGAATTATAAAAGAAAGAAAGAAAGAAAGAAAGAAAGAAAAAAAGAAAGAAAGAAAGAAAGAAAGAAAGAAAGAAAAAAAGAAAGAAAGAAAGAAAGAAAGAAAGAAAGAAAGAAAGAAAGAAAGAAAGAAAGAAAGAAAGAAAGAAAGAAAGAAAGAAAAAGATTTTATACATTGACTCAAATTTTTGTCATTTTTTTATTATTCATAATAAATAACAAATTCTTGCTTCCAAGTTCATTTTCTTTTATATCAATTTCAAAATCTGGGTTTGCAATTTATTTATTTTTTTATGTATTTCTTATGTGTGTATGCTAATTTTTTTGCCGTTTCTGTTTTTGTGACCCTTTGTAAAGCCACTTTATACACGGGTTGCAACTGATTTTACTGACTTTAATTAGGTTTTTCTGTTTCCATTTACAAGATTTGTGCAATAAAGTTGACAAAGGACCTTTAGATGAGAAATACTTTTCGAGGTTTTTTCCTTTCTAAGTTCACTTCTTTGTTACATTGGATGCATATTTTGGGTCTGATTACACTGAGAGAAATTAGAAAGCTTTCCAAGTCGCTTTTCATAGCTTTTCATAAGGCATGCAATATGTTCATATATTCTTTTATTTGGACAATTCTAAATCTACACTTTCACTGTGTTTAAATAATAGTTGTGTCTATCCCCACTGATGTAAAACCTAGTTTTTGTACGGTTCCTGAGGATTTTTCTTCCTTGCAGTCTTCAAAATGTTCCGTTTTTATGCTTGGCCGAATTGTTTTTCGAACCTTACAGTTCTTTCTCTGGCACTCACGCCTACACCCTCTAACACATTCACACATGGACCTCCAGCTCCCTGAGTAATCATTGTTCAGTGGCTCTGGTCAGCATGTTGTCACCTGTATCCTATTAAGAACATTCTTGCCTCAGCACACAATCGCCAAGTTTCCCTCTGTCTTTCTCTCAGTCTTAGAAACACACACACACACAGACACACACACACACACACGCACACACACACACACACACATACGCCTCCACAAACAGACACACTTTGTCCTCTCCTTAGTTCAGCCATCTTCCCCTGCTCAGTCGCAGCTTTTACC